TCTCCTGAGCTAAAGTCTTGAATTCTTGAAGTATCCCATGCATTTCCTTTGTAGACACCTCATACAGGTGGAATTAGAGAAAAATTAATATAGAAAATTCTAAGTAGAGAAGTTTTAATAATACTGAGGTGGTGTCAGAAGAGCTAACATAAATCTCAGTAAAGAAGACTTTCTTTAAATAGTAAGTCTGGATACCGTCTGCATACGCCCGCCCTGTGAAGCAGGCGAAGAGAATGGCCTCACCCGGACATTATCGCAGTGGTAGAATGCCACCAAATAACCACTTTCCGAAAGTGGAGCATCTAGAGATACCTCTCGGCAATGTTATTAACCTGCAGTACTTTAACCTGAGAGGCTGGCTATCCCTCAACACCCCCAGCGACAATCAGCAGGTTTTTGATGAGTTGATATAACTTGCAGGACTTTGATTAACTGAGAAGAAGACTGTCTCTAGACACCCCTCAGCAGGTTTTTGATGAGTTGATAACCTACAGGACTTTTATAAGCTGGCAAGATGGCTGACTTAAGTCACCTCTCAGTAACAACCAGCAGGTTTGTGACAAGTTGAGATATATCCTCCTGGAGCTCAATGAATTCTAAGTGCTATGGAACAACCCAATTTCTTTACCTTACAGAGATATACCTGCCTTCTTGAATGTTTCATGTTTATAATATCTGCAAAGTGATTTCTTATTACATGGTAATGCATTTTTTTTAAAGGGAATAAGATAAATTGGAAACAGCGCGTTGTTTTTCCAAGGTCAATATGGAATGATAGTAGTTTAAGAATTTGTAAGATTGACTGAATATACTTAAGTGACGATGGGATTTAATACTATGGATTATATAGGGAGTTGCAAGAAAAGAAAAGGGTTTTTAGCGTCTCAGTCAGAATAAAGGTTAATTTGATTTACAGTATAAGCTTTTAATAGAACAAGAACTAAATACATCGAAAATAAAACAAAGACTATACTGTTATGAATAGAGTTAAGACATTTTTAAACAGACTTTGCAGCAGACATGTAAAAACAAGTTCTCCATGCTATAAATGAATGAGCTCTATACAGGGTGTCCCGAAATTAGACGGCCATATTTTAACAGCGTAATCTACATCCTGAATTAGGAGTAAAAATTCATATAAATATAGGTCCGAAAACGTTTCTTTTCCGAGATACAGGGTGTTAAAAGTGAAGTCCTGATGACACACTTTTGTAAATACTTTCTAAACGTTTAAAGATAACTAAGTAAAATGTGGTACAAATGCTTACCTTTTTACGCTCTATTTAATGGTCTAAACCCCAGTTTTTGATCATCTTCATAGGTGGGTAAATTAGGGGGGCCTTAGGGTAAATTTGCCCTAAATTTTTTTTTTGACAGTTTTTAGCATTTTTAACTATAAAATTTTGAAAACCAATGTTTTCTTTATAATAAAGCTACTTTTATTGCATCTCGCTAGGACGCACCATTTTCAAGAGAAAAGCATTTAAAAATTTCATAAGTTGATGTTATCTTATTCTAAAGTGTACCAATAATTAGTAGGCCTGTGGAATCAGAAATTTTATTTTTTTTTTACTTTGGAAATCCAGTGACTAATGAAATTTTAGAAAATATTTACAAAAATGTGCCATCAGGATTTCACTTGCAACATCCTGTATCTCGAAAACGAAACGTTTTCGGACCTATGTTTATATGAACTTTACTCCTATTTTAGAATGTAGATTATGCTGTTAAAATATGACCATCTAATTTCTGAACACCCTGTATACTGTGAGAAATACGTTTTCTTTAGTATACTAGTGCATAGTAAATCTACTGCACATTTCAATAATTTACATGTCAATTGGTTGGTATAGATACACTCAACATTGCAACTTGCGTTACTCCTGCAGCATAACATTTTACGCGAACCCTAATTAGTCCATAACGTTGAAAGAGAAAAAATGATTACGTCACCCTCTTGTGATATATAAGCGTCACTTCTTAGCCAATAAAATATGTTCCGCGAATGACATCATCACGCAAAAAGATGATTGGCCAATGAATTGAAAGTGGAAATTGCTGCATTTTCATCGGTAGAGCTCAGAGTTTTTACACTTCTTCGAGTGGGAGGTACTCTCTCATATGATATCGATACAATAATTATTAAAGCCGCCGATCCAGCATTTTTCAATCACACATAAGGTTCTTTCGTTCGCTGTTAGTGCAGTGTCCACCAGTGTAAATTACAGTTACACCACCTTATTTTTCCTAGTTTCTTCCTTCTTATTCCTTATACACATGTGAAGTGTAATTCACTCCTGCTAACTAGCTGGTGGAGAAAATATCCATCAGTGACACCATATCGCCGACAGAAAGGTATAGTAGGTTTTACACCGGGCAAAATTAAAGGTATGGTGTCCGTTGGTGTAGTTCATTCCGACACCAGTGGGAAAAACAAATGCACCTATTGATAGTTGAATTTAAAAGCAATGTGATTACTTTTCAAAACAAATGGAAAATGTATATAGTTTCGAATGATGCTTGTGAAATTGTGTTTTGTACAAACTATTTTGAAAAGGTTTATAAATAAAACAGTGTTCAGTAAGATGTGAATTTCAATACAGCCATGCCTTCTAGGAACCAGCACGTATCAGGATATTAAAAGTTATGTATCAAATTGCAATTAATTAAGATCATGGTTGGATTCGACCGTATTTAACACGGAAATAACCGGCACTAGTTTTCCAATACCGGATATCGCGCACTTATTATGACAGAATTGAGCAAGGTCATCTGCATATGACATATTTAAATAGTGGATGAATATCGAAACAAATATCATTTATTGCGAGTATAAGAAAAGTACCAAATACTGTGAAACTTCGTTAACATTCGAGAAGGTCTGGGATACTTCACTTGGAAACTTGTATTACTTATTTAAAAATTGTCGAAGTAAGAAGTTAATGTTGAAGTATATAAAATATAAAATAATGTGATATTTTATACATAATCTCTAAGCTTACGAATGGACACCTTTAATGTTAAAGATAATCGCAATAGGTTCTTTTTTATTAATCAAAGCATTTGGTACGGCAATTTAGACCTAAAATATTTATTGTATGTGGAAGAGGGGTGTTGTATAAAATATAAAAAAAATAAATGTCAATTTTTAAAAATATTTATTATTACTTACTTCATATTGAGCGAAAAAGTATTAATTCTGAATTAAGAATAAAAATAAAAGAACATATAAAGTTTTATGTTTAATTTTTATTAAACAATTAGGAACAATTCTCAATCACTTAAATTCTATCTATGTAAACAAACTAGAAAAGTTCTGTTGCAGGTAATAAAATTAAAAAACAAACTGAACATTAACTATATACAGGATGTTTCTTAAGTTGAGTATTTTTTTAATAGGGTCTATAATTTTCAATTAATTTTTTTATAAACCCAAAAATTAAATGTGACTACCTAAGTTTTAGGTACAGATAAAGACAAATTAAAAATAAAGACTCAAATTTTGAGACACCCTGTATTGTCTATCACATAGTTTAACCTTATTTCTGAGATTTTGTTTTACTTTTTCAAATAGCTTTGGTTCTCATCTCAAATACCTAAATACTTATGAAATGAACCAACTGGCAAGTCTTCGAATACTATTAAAAACCTATCTAAAAATACATATTTATTTCACCCAAAATTACATATTATTTTTTCTACACCCACATGTAAGGAGTGATCCACAAAAAAGGTTTCTAAAGTAGGCGTACAATTCTTCTTTTTTTATTGGATTTAATTCAGAGCCGCGCGTACTAATCACGGATATGACTAGTATCTCTTACTTTGACGGTCATGACTTACTTTAGAAATATTTTTTGTGGATTCTCTTTATATTATCCATTTTATATAGAAATTTCAAAACGAATAAAAGGGTATCAGTCTACTAAACGGGTGACAATTTTGTCAAATTAGAGGCAACTTTCTCAAACTAATTGTCAGGATATTTTTGAGTTATTAAGAAAAAATATAATTAAAAATTAGTTATTTTTGTAAAGGATCAATAAATAATGCCAGTCCACTATATATTCACAAAGAAGCTGTAAATATTTACAAATTGTAATAAAACTATCTAAAATCAATTCAAAAATATTTAAGATGTTAGCATACAGGTTTAGTGCAAAATCGAAAAATACGAAATGTAAATCTTATTAACCTCTAAATTGATTTTTAAACTGTTGCAATTTAATTTAGTGGCTTGTACAAACAAATCTAACTTAGAACTCGAGTGGATTGCCATCATATCCATTTTTGTTTGACAAATTACTACAGTTGTGTAGCGTCACTATCAGTGCGCAGTATCCTAATTAAAGTTTTGTAGTAGTAGTTAAAATTGGTAGGTTGCAGCAGTTAGCACAAAAAGATTAAAACTTACATCTTTACATTGAAGTATTCTCTTGAGGTTTAATATATTTTGAATGTTTAAAACAAGGTCAGCAATTGATTCCAGCAAGTTAAATAAATAAATTGTATAAGAGTAAAAATAAATATAAAGAAAAATTTAATCTACCAATGACAAAAATCTGCAATTACAACCATAGTTACGTAACAACGTTATATTCACGGGATGTTTAAGGGCTCGATTATTATTTTATCTACTAATACAAAACTCTCCCTCTTAAAATAAATCATACATAATTTTTTATATGTGAGTAAGAACATTAAAAACTGAAAATGAAAATAATTAGTCTCCCTCTATTGTTTCCTTCTTATTTCACAATTAGGTATACATTTTGGTAAACAAGTTTTTAAAAAACTTTGTAGGATATACATATTTTATTAATGAACTGCAGTCGATGATCCAATAAAATTCATTTTCGAATATTAAATTAAAGCAATATAAAAATTGCCAACAATACTGGTACGTAGGTACATGAACACCAAATATCTATTGACATTGATGCACACTTCAAAATCGTTCATTCTTTATTTTTCAAATTACACTAACTAACACGATATTATCACTTATGATGATCATGAATGGCAGGAGGAGGAATAATAGGAGGTATGTGGTTACCACACCGTGGAAAGCCAGGTGGTACTGGTGGTAAGTCGTCTTGAGTTCCTACATGGACTATGAGGTTCATTCCTATTACTATATGGAAAAGGAAGTGGCAATGGAATAACCAATAACCTAAAATAAAATTTTAAATTATTAAAAAATCTATTTTTCATTTGTGATTTCGTATATGCAATGGTGGACAAGATCGAACCTTCGAGCATGCCATGCTTGTTAAAGTGGATAATAAATCGCATATACACAAAAAGAAACGATATAGATTCGATGTTACCAGTCGAGTCACTGGTCTGTAGCATCGACAAGAGGGTGGGTATTGATGTAATAAAAATATGAAGTAGATAAACTAAATTATTCAAAAATATCTTAACCTACACCTGGCACGCTCATTCTGAGTAACATACCTACCTGGACTCGTGGGGTACGTACGAACGCCAGTGATAAAAATCTTTGCAAAAATTGAAAAACTGTAGACTAGCCGGAATTGAAAAAATAAAGATTAGCGTTCATAAAACATCCGGAAAACTGAAAAACTTGAAAAAATGCGTTTTTTACAAAGAAAATCATTACTTCTTGATTTTTGATAAAAATGGCTAAAATTTTAGCTGTGTCTTCTTCTGTTACATCACTATAAAAAAAATAATTGTTTTTATGGGACTTTAAAAAAAGGTATTTATTTTGAGAGCGCTATCCCACTGGCCTAGGTATAAAAGTATATCCCGTGACTACCGACTGAAAATCAACGAGAAATAACGTGGGGTATGTACGTACCCCACGAGGTCAGGTGAAGGTTAATAAAAAACTCTTACAATATATATATATATATATATGGCTTTGAATAACCAAACCCAAACTCGATACCCGAAACTTGAACGATACAATAACAAACAATATATTATGTATCGCATATTTTCTCAGGCGAGGAGCTATGTCCCCCGTATATTATAGGCAAAATAATCTCATATGTGGCAAGGGCTAATCTCCAACTCATAATAGGATGCGATGCCAATTAATAGCATACCATTTGTATTACAATTCATCATATCTCAGGGTTTGGTAATTGCTAAAATAGGTAACAAACCAACTTTCGTCACAGCAACGAGGAAAGAAATTCTGATGACTATTTGCTCGAGTAAAGCAAGTAAGTATCGTGCTTAGACCACGGATAGATTAGATTTGATCTCTAATTATCCCACCTCGAATTTCAACCAAATACAGAACCCCTAGAGGAACGAACTGGGAAAGGTATTCAACGTCACGAAGAGGGTGTGATCGAAATAACAGATAAACAAAGTCTTGACCGAGCAGTAGACCAAGTAAGTAGGGCTATTAAAACCGCTTACAAGAAAAACTGACCGGAGGAAACAAGACAGCAGAGAACAAAAACAGTATAGTGGAACAAACACTTAGAACACCGTAGATTTCACTTATACTATTTAATAAATCCAAATCAACCGAATATTGGGCCCTATATAGGGCTAAACTCATTTAGTACAACAAGGAGCTAAGAAAGACAATCGTAGAGGAAGTTCTGTGAGCAGGTATATGAAACATCCACATGCTCTAGAATCCACAAAATCCTAGCTAAAAAGGTACTGCACAGAAGCACAGTTTCCGGCAGCAAAATTTTGTTAGACTCGATAGTAGCAAAGAAGGTCTAGTAAACCAACTCCTTTGGAATGGAGGCTAACTACAGAAATATCAAGGGCGAACAAACATATTTCAGCCATACAAATCCCCAGAGAATAGATTCTTGGAGAAACCATTGTGATATACTCAGACAGCCAAGCGACTTTAAAAATACTTAGTACTATACAAGTACACTCAAAGTTTGTGTGGGACTATTTGGAAGCCCTAACAGAGCTGAGTAGTCAAAACAGACTAACCATGGCGTAGGTACCAGGCCACAAGGCACATAAGGGCAACGAAGATTTACTAGCCCGAAAAGACTCTTATTGGCCGAGAACTCTTCTGTAGTGTCACAAAGACAGCTATCAGAACATGCACGAAGCAGTGAATGTTTAAAAAATCTCAGGAATATTGAATAAATTCACTAGGACAGAGACAGGTCTAAGAGTTCTTAAAAGGACCATCGCCTAAGCTTACCGAGCGTCTACTAAGCTATAATAGGAAAAATACTAGAATACTAAAAAGTCTATTAACAGGGTATTGTAGGCTTAACAAGCATACGTATCGATGGCTTAGAGCACAAATGTTTTATGTCCAAAAATGTCATTTTGAGTAAAATCGATTTGAAAGTTGGAGGTGACTATGACGAGCTGTATAATTTTTATTAGTATTACTTTACTGAATGGTAAACCTATTTAAGTAGACGTACTATATTTGGTAACCATAAAGATTTCATCACGAAGGATATAGAATCCTACCTATCCCATTTTCGACAAAAATGGACATACAGCATGTGTGCTTTAAACCAACGGTATAAGTCTTTCTGACCTTATGCCGATTATGTCAGGAATAGAAGAAAACTACAGTACACTCATTGTACTACTGCCAAGGTCTATCAGGACTGAAAGGTGCGGGAATCCTAAGTAAATCTAATCTAATCTATTGAGTACAAAGGTTATAAAGAAAAGTCCTTCCTATCTCACAAAATCAATTTATTGGCGACCGATTTCGAAGTAATTACTTCATCATTACACCTTAATGGAAAGTCGTGTAGTCAATGTATTGAAAGGTAAAAATTATTATAAAAAACGAAAATTGAACATAAATTAGGAAATTTTTAAAACAAAAACACTCCTAATAATCTAATCTAACAAATAATATGGTTGTCTTTATTGTTTCAGCCTTTACTTGATATGGTTGTTGATGAAAACATGGAGTGAATTACTTTAATTTAATTTTAGGTATACATTTAGTAATAATTTACTGTAAGTAAACTTATATTGAAACTTTAACATGTCTATGCCTTTATAAAAAGGTGTGGCTTGTACGGTGAACTATAAGTTAGTCATGAGGCATAATACACCCATCTGGGTCGCAGTGGAAGGCGATGAGATCATCCCACTCATTTTCAACCTAACCTAACCATGCCTTATACATAAATTCATAACCGATTGTAGATAATAGTAAATTGTTCTGGCTCATTTATAACTACTAATATTAGGAACACATTTTTGGGAAATGAATTTGATCTTAAATCGTTTAGCCGTTAAGTATTGTAAGGTACAACTTAAAAAATTTTCAAGAGGAATTTTTTAAAACAAAAACATTTCTTGAATAGATAAAAATTTAGGCTCAAAAGAAAGAAGTACTGTTGATGAAGAAATATAATTTGTGACATTTTTATTAATAGCCTCCATTTTTGTTCTAATTTTTTTTAAATAAATTGTTAAAGTTTCAATCATTAGAAGGTTGTGGATTCAGTTTCTTTTATTTAGACTAGTTAATACCTACTCTATAAACCAATAAATGATTGCTACTAACCTGGATTATCGGCTCTAAACCTAAATATCACATATCCATTGTTTGGCACAGCAATCGTATCTTTAGCTGGTGGGAGGTTGAATTGTCTATGTAACAAACCCCTTCTATCGAGATCAAGGGCGTGCTTCAGATTAATTTTCTTAACGTTCTGATCTGGAGATCTACCAATTCCAATTACGTTGAATGAGTAGCCGTGAAGATGGAAGGGATGACTCAAATTTGGTGACTGAACTATAAACAAAGCGAAATATATATTATTTATACTTTTTTTGATTTTTTGTAATTTACAATAATTTTTTACATATATAAATAAAATTGTACACACAATATAGAAAACATTCCAAGGCAATAAGTTACCTGTGATGAATTATTGCAGGAAGGAGAAAGTTGATTAATCTTTCTCTTGGAAAAAATATCATAGCCAGCTCTAAATTCTAACCAATTTGACTCAAAGCTAGTTTAAAACTGTATAAATACCTTAGAATGCCTCTGTGCCCAGAATAATGTTCATTTGGTCTGAGTTTCAGGGCAAAGCTGCGTTAAGGGCAATGATAAAGTCGATGCCCTCGCTAATAAAAGTAGAAACGATTTCATAGGAACAAAACCATTCCTTGGAATTCCTTGGAATTCTTTTCAATTGAAAAGAACTATGTCTTAGGGATTATCTTCAACCGGACTGATAGTAAAAAACTCTTGTATTGAAGAGATATCCCAGATCTAAGACATACACAATCGTTCTATAAACGCCTTTGCTCAGATCCGTAAATATAGTGGAAACAATCTACGCATTCTTACGAGACTGATGACAGTATATTATCATCTAGGTACACACACATGATAAGGATAGATCTCCAACAAAGAGTATACTATCAATTATTCAGCGTAAAAGACGAATCTGTAGAGCGTATCCTATCTACCTGCTCTGCCTAGGAAATAATTAGATTCCAGATCTATGACTTTACCCCTGGAGCTTGTCGACTTTAAACAAGACTCATCTTCTCATATTCTCAATTCAAGAATTCAATCAAGGCATTTATAAAAAGATGTGATTCATAGAGTGAAATATAACTTAGGCAGTAGATGGCGATGTGATCATCATATTCATTTCCAACCTAATCTAACCTAAATCAGTTGTTATTGACAAAACTTGTCTACTATAAAAATACAGTTGTTAAAGTAATACACCTTTTTTGTCTGAAGGTTCAAGTTATAGAGCTGTATATTTGGAGCTTTAAGTTTCGTAGAAATAGAAAACACATTAGAATTGTAAACTGCCTCCCGTATCTTTGAAATTACAAGCTTTATTAATGTATTTTAACATGTTATTCTTTTAGAAAGAAGTTAGTTGGCAAATTTTTTAATCTATTATTTGGATGATCTCAATTTAATTTTTTTTAGAAAATTCAAAGCAAAACTTATTATTATTTAGACTTACCTTCGTCAACTAAAACTACTTCTACAATGGCATTATATGGTATATCTACCATATGGGTACATTGGCAATTTGCTCCGCAATTAATGGGTCTGTTGTCCCCGTTGCAGAATAAATCTTGATTTATTTCTTCTAGTTGAGATAGTGGTGGTGAAGGAGGAAATTGAAACGAGATTTCATCTATTAAACTAATGACGTGGTCTCCACCAGGTGCGACTAAAATAATTTATTATGCTTTAAATCGTATTTAAATACTTCTGTTAGCCCAGAAGCCAGTGAACATTTTTGGGAACTTATTTTCGCAGTATTAATTTGATGATTTTTTCAACCCATTGTCAGTTTGGACATTGTTGAAAATTAACCTTCTTAATCAATTTTTTAGTAGCTTTAAACATTCATAAAATAAATCTACAATTAAAATCACACAAGCCGCGCCTGTTTACCTAAAGGAGAAATTTTAATTTTATATAAAGCTGGCTACTCAAACGCCTGCCGCAGGGACAATTTAGGGTGCAAGGTGGATGGTACAATCTAGGAGGCTTCTCTACACACGTATCTGCAGAGTGCAGATTCTGACATCCCCATGAAATGGAGATGCTTTCGTACTTGGTGCTTATCAGTTAGAATGCCTGGCAACTCCGCAGCGTCCTGTTTCATCTTATCTTTTCTTAAATTTCACAAAGGAATAGTCTTTTTAGGTTTGTCACTACCGATGTTGTCAGTCCAATAGAAGGGTCAGGTCCAAAAAGTATTAAGTTGGCTGCCTTCTTGGCTAGTGAATCAGCAAATTGGTTACCTTTTGATGTAGTGTGACCTTTAATCCATCTTAAGGTGACCACATTGTTGATGGATACTTCTGCTAAAGCTTCGTGACATTCTAGTACTAATGCTAAGTAAATTCGTGGTCCGTTTAACGTGAGTAGTGCTTAACCCTGCTATCTGTATAGGTAAGCATATTCCTTCTAGTGATATTTTTTCTGGTAACCTTTTCGCTGCCATGAGGATCACCGTGAGCTCGATTTAAACTACACTGGCACTATTGCTTACAGCCCAGGTTTAGGTTGATGGATCTGAAGTATATTCCACATCTTGTTTTGGTTTAGAAACGTCGGTGTAGATATGAATCTTACCAGCCACATCCAGATCTTCTATGTGTTCTGTTATAACTTTATATGGCTTATGGAAGATATATCTCGGTGATATAGAGTACATGTTCGCCTGAAGCAGTGGAAACGTATCGAGCGCCTCCTGCCAAAAGTAAAGTCACGCCTCACCAGATAATATTTCACCGAGTTCTATTTCAACCGTTCAGAGTGGTGTCATTTACATCAATATCAAGGAGAGTGAGACTAACAATGACTTCCATGGCTCTGGACGGTGTGGTTTTCATGGCTCCTCTTAGGTTGAGACATGCTATTCTTTGAATTTTTTATAGTTTGCGGACAGCTTCGTGATATTGATAATTGGAAAAGAAGAATTGAAGAGGAATTTGACGCATTCCAAAGGCACGCAGAATACTTTAAAAAAAAATTGCTCCGCCATAAATAATCGATGAAGGTATAAATTTGAATAATATAATAATTTCGTCACTTTGCTGAAAGTTTGAGAAATGTGAATGTGTGAAACTTCTGAATGTGTAGAAACGTCAATAAAACACATATGAGCCATGGGAACAGTGGAGAGATGAACCATTCTAGACTGATACAGTTCTTTTTTCAACAGTTTTCAAACTTTTTCCTTAAATTGTTAACATTTTTTTTCGAATCATTATAGGAAAACTTAAGTAGCTAATATTTTTTACATTAATATGAAGGAGAATTACCTAAAAATTTATTGTAAGACTGTGGCTTAAATAGTTCCGCTGGTTTGTAGAACAAAAATCGAAATGGTAAAAATATTTTGACATCTGGTCTTTCTTGTAATAAAGCTTGATCCACCTTCCTGGCATTTCTCAATTGACTGATACATACGGCGTCTTTCCTTGGTTTATTGCAAATGGCGTCCAAGGGATTTAAAACCTGTTAAGTTTTAAAAATTAAGTAAAAAACATATGATTCTAAATAATTTAGCAATATGATTCATGCACAAAAAAATACAAAAAATATGTCTATAACAATTAGGACTATGTTATTTTTGATCTTTTTTAATGTTTTATAATCCTTTAATGCATGATTTTATATAGCAATGAATGAAAGAAGGAAAATTTAAAAAATGCTTTACAATGCTTTCCTATATCGGATATTCACGCGAAAACTTCAGATCACATTATTTCTAATAAAATTTAAGTTGGAATATTGAATTTTTCACACACTACCCTTCCTCACTTAGCCCTTGCGTCAAAATATAGGTACAGTGTGCCTACGTAAGTTGGCTACACATGAAAAACTTTTTTATTATTAATTTTATAAAAAAAATGTATTTTTCATAAAAAGTTGTGCATGGTCTAAAACCTAAAATACAACTAACATATATCAAATTTTATGAGTCGTATACGAGGTTTGTCAAAAAAATTATTTAAAATTACATTAATTTTTGACAAATCTCGTATACAACTTTTAAAATATTGTATCTGATGGTTATATATAGGATTTTAGTTAAACCCCAATTTTTTATGAAGAATAATTTATTTTTCCGAAAATTAATAATAAAATAATAATAAAAGAGTTTTCCATATGCCGCCAACTGTCTACGTAAGTTAACGGACACATGGAAAACTTTACTTTATTAGTCGTATACGAGGTTTGACAAAAAAAAGATACTTTATGCTTGAGGAAAAGTTATATTTTTTGACGAACCTAGTATACGACTCTAAAAAATTTAATATTGATGTTTGAATTTTAGATTTTTATAAAGAATACATTTTTTAAAAAAACTAATATTTTTTCAAAAAGTAGCCAACTTATGTAGACACAACTGTACATATATATCATGAAGAAGGATACACTTTTTTGAGAATATCTATAATAAAATATTTACAAGTTATATAGGTTAGGTAGGTATTTTTCAAGTTATTTTAATTTATTATTTTAATAAAAATATTTAATTCACTACGAGAAAGGCAGTTACTTATACAGGGTGGCCCAATTAAAAGAAGGAAACATTTTTTGGATAATTCCCGAGACCGGTCGATTTTGATTTCAAGGGGGACTTATTTATTGGTGTAGGTTCATCCCCTAAACGGGGTGGCAACCCTTTCAAATATATGTCGCAAGGGGTTAAGTGGCACATAATTTTAAAGGTATTTCGATTCTATTTTCAAATATGTTCCGAGTTAAAATTATTGTAAAACACATGTTAGAAGTGTCGGTGAAATAAATCTAAGAAAAAAGTTTTAATTAATCAATTGTTCAAATTGCGACCAACTTACTACCATGGAGTCTTCAGATTGGCTTCATGTTGTAGTGTAGATGTTTACCTGTGCAGGCACACCTGCACAGACAGACCGTAGCGTGTATGCCCGCCATAAGGATAACTGCAGATTGGCATTAGGTTTGATCAGTCTAATGCGCCCCACACATAAAAGTTTGCGAGGGAAAACCGCCTATGAAGTCACTTATAGTAACATATAAGTAAGGTTCCCGAAAATATCGGAATATTTCAGAAGCTATTTCTCTACATGCTTGCAATATTGGGTGGCGAAAGATATAGGTTTTGTCTTATAAACAACACTTTTTAAATAACCCCACAAGAAAAAGTCCAATGTTGATAGATCTGTCGATCTTGGAGGCCATTCAATGAAACCCCTTCTATCAATCCAGTGTTGGGGAAAATGTTGATTTAAAAAGTCACGTACAGCAGCTGGATAGTGGAGCGCCATCCTGTTGACAAAATTTTCTGGGATCTGAACGTCAATTTCGAGAATCTCTACAATGCAAGGGTAGATCAAGTCTTCAAGCAAATTGAGGTAAGACTCACCCGTCTAAATGAAGTTTACTATAACCAAAACTAAATCATAAATAATGTTTGTACAGTTCAGATAAAAGCTACTATTAATTTGAATGATAATAAGACAATTTCCTACCTTAGAAAACGGAAGTAATTCGGTCACTGTTTCAGTTGGAACTAACAAACTTTTAACGGCATGGCAACTATTGCTGGTCGGGAGCGAAAGAGGCAGAGAGCCTTCAAATCAAAGAGAGGACAAATTTTTACTTGTCATCTTATTTATGTCTTTCCACAAGCAAGCTCGAAGCCCAGCAATTCGGAGTGGGAGATACCACCACTACATCCGAATGTTTACTATTTCAAAATGAAAAAAAAATCCCTACTGGCACCTTGATAAATACAACTAGATAATTGATACGAAATTGAATCTACAAATGTCCATTCGAATTTCGGCAAATATAGAAATATTTTAACCTACGAGGGTACTCGCAATTGTTTAAAAACGGGAATTCCTGGGAAACACAAATACGGGGATCTTCTACATGTCCTCAGGCGGGAATTAATCAAAATATACATTTTTAAAATTAATTAAAAATAAAATTTAGTGACTTCGTCACAATAACCTTCAAGATAGCGGATAATAAAAACTAAGCGAGTTTCTCTACACTAGACAATAATTGTGATTACTGGAAAATCAGAATGTAACTACCTGTAAAACCGTGAAAATAAATCAGTCACACTATGTTCTGCAGTTTTCTGTTTTAATTTTTTATAAATTTATTTTACCAACACTCCCAACAGGTGTTTTACATTAATTTTAACACAGAACAAAAAAAATGTCAGCATGTTTGAAAAGAGAAATGAAATACCTTTAAAATGATCCCTTGTGCCATTATTTAGTATTCTTGAAAGGGTTGCCACCCCATTCAGTGGGATAAACCTACATCCATGAATTACCGATTAAAACTAAGTCCCCCTTGAAAACAAAATCGACTGGTCTCGCGGATTTCCCAAAAAAACGTCTTCTAGGTGTAAATATTTCATGTGGGCTCTTTTATTTTGGCCACCCTGTAGATGAAATGTATGTGGATGTACATCGCCTTATGCACTCTCATACAAAAACTTTAATATTAGAATGTAATTTTTACTAGAAATAAAGCCATCCAAAGTTTTTGCGCGGACATCCGGTATATACAACGGAAAATAAATCTTATAAGTTTTATAAAATGCAATATAAATTATCCTAATAAAAATATAAAACCATTTAAAATACTAATTTACAAATATACATTGGCAAAAAAAATAAAAGTGCCCATAAAAAGTAGGTACATGCAATATGTTCAATAATACATTTACTTCAAGAAATTGGTGTTTATTTCAAATTCACCCAATTTAGTCCTTTTTGTTTTATTGCATGAGAAAGTACCGAAAAATTTATAATGAACTAATAAATACTATACAGTATTGGCTATCGAACACTTACGTTTTGCACAAATGCGGGCAAAAAGTACAGAAAATTAACATTATACGAGCAGGAAATGAATAATATCAGCGATGCCACTTCATACGCCCGGTCAACGTTACCACGCAATCGGGCAGTATAAACTCACAATGCTGATATTATTCGTTTTCTGCAAGCTCTAATTCTCTCTGTAGTTTTCGCATGCACTTGTGCAAATTGTATTGGAATACGTTCAGTGATCAACACTGTATATTATGGTAATACGAGTATATTCAGCCAGAACTATACAAAAGTTGAAACAGAAATTTAAAATAATAAATATTGTTTACTTACTGCATTATTATTTATGATTTCACCAAATTGACTGTGATCCTAGATAACATTCCACATACGTGCATAATTTTAGGATGGTGTATAATTCAAATTACTTGCTAGGTACTTACTGTACAAATTTAACAAACTAACTAGAGTTATGAGTAAAATACGTATATATTTTATATTATATAATAGATAGTTTCAATAATAAGCATGTGTCTATTTGACTGCAATAATTACACTTCTCGTATATTTCCCATTTGAGCAGTTACCATTAAAATTAGCCTAGCCTATTTGCATTAATAATAATACAAAAAGTCCATATTATTTAAATTATCCTATTATCGCTTAAGGAAATATATCTATACCTATTTATTATTTACAATGTAGCAGTAAAAATATAAACACAAAATTTATTTAAAGCAAATTACTTATATAAATTCTGTGGAAATTCTCAAATACATTTTTCAAAATTACCCTTACGAATTATTGAACACTAGTTTTTAACCCCCAAAGTTAAAACAATTTAACACCTCAGCTGCGATACATATCGCCGGAGAATGTACCGTTTCTGAAAAACCAACCCAATTTTCAAGGTATTTTAGCGTTTTTTTTATCTACAATTATAATTCATTTGGGTTGCCGAGTATGATATATTATGTATATTCTAGTACATGGTTCTGAGGATATGTAACGCACACAACTAATGCTATGTGTACGATATATTTATATCTCCGGAGACCGGGGATATAATATTTACTATACAGTCAGATCCAGATTTGGCCTACACAAGAATCCATCATATACAATCCTGAAGCCCGAAAGAAAGTATGTTATAATTAGTTAAGATATTAAGAGCTATGAAACGGACAAAAAGGTGAGACGTAACATAAACTTCTATCAGGATTATCCAGGCCAGCCAGGTTATTGTTTACCGCATTACAATACTGATCACAACTGATAGTTATAAGAATAGTTCTTTAAAATTGCACGTTTTTTCTTTTCTTGTTCATGTGCCAACTTTATCTATGACTTTTTCTTCCTCACATAATTATACGGTCCAAAAGTCAAGCAATAAACCCTGTAAGTTTATAAATGGTTCCATATATATCCCTGGGATCTATACCGCTCAAAAATAACTCAGGCCACATAAATCAGTTAACTGGTTAGCACTCAGACCCTTCACGCTCGAGTTTTACGCATCAT